AAGTTAATCTCTCTAAGAGACAAAGTCAGCCGGTGGTCATCAGCATTTTGCCAGAACTGCGCCAGATGACACTGGGAAAAGACGGAGGAAGACTTTCACGCCTTGATAACTCCGGATCAAATAAGACAGTTTGAAACAAGCATAGCTGCAAGAGATGTCGAATGTTTGTTAGGTCAACTGTCAGATGCACAGAACATCCAGATGACCCAGGCTCAGTACAAGTTAATTCGAGATTTCCTACTAGTTGAGATATCTATTGCCAAAGCTAACAAGGCAGGGGCTCTTGCGAACATGACAATTGGGGAATACAGCAGAATGGCAAAGGAAAGTGATGAATTCGTCGTTCTTGTGAAGAATCACAAGACAGACAGCACCCATGGTTCCGCCAGAATTGTTTTCTCTCCAAGATCAAAAAGCTGGATGGACGTCTTCCTTAAAGTGCGTTTGAAATTTGCTACTTTTGACTGTGGGCCAGAAAAATGTGTGTTGTTATATTCCAATGGAGAGTCTACGGTTTCCAGTCAAATCAACAAAGCTATTAAGTCCGTATGGAAAAGGCCGAAGTCCAGGGCGCGCCAAGCCGTAAGTTAGTTAGACAATTCTTAGTGTCAAGCGTACACAGCAGCAGCGACAGCAATGAAGCAATGAAACCTGGCGGATTTGATGGCCCACAATGTTTCCACTGCTACGAGATATTATCGATTGCCAGAAAAATTTAAATCCTCCGTCTGACCTCTAAACACTTGCGTCAAGTCATGGAAGACGAAAGCCTAAGCATTTCCACCGTAGACGAGGGGGAGGCTTCCGAACACTATTCCTGAAGAAAAGACCAAGAAATGATAATAGGAGATCTGTTTTAAGAGGAAATCTAAGAGAAATCCGTGACAATAAAAACGGTGAGGGAGAAAATAGCTGAAAATGTGCAGCTGAGGGACGGGGACCCGAGGAAGATTCTTGGCAAAGTTCGAGAGAAGTGTTGTTTTCCTTCCTCCACACAATCAGAGCCTGTGAACCTCCCTGACGAACAAGGGACTCTTGAACATAGAGTGGAGAGATTTCTTGACGTCGATAAAAACCGACCTTGAGAAATACAGACCAAAACAACAGAGGCAAGTGGTGTTCGTAACCTATTTTCAGCTTTGGAGCTTGATAGGCTGAGAGCTATGTTTAAAGATATGATCACGACATCTGTACCGATCTCAAAGCCCATGGTCAAAGAAATTCTTCAAAAGGAAGATGGGGGAAAAGAACTCTTACAAAAAGCCTCGATAGAAACAATAATTAATCGTGTGAAATACTAAAGGCGCCTTAAAAGAGCATCTAAGACAGCTCAAGATCAGAGTTGTTTTCAAAATAGTTAACAGTTTGGAGGCTTGGCATATTAACTCCGCCCACGCTCCTTTAAATCGTGACGATGGCGGTTTGCTTCCTGACGCCTATTTACACCTCGTCAGAAAAAAGGCAGCTAATTAGTAATCATATAAAAGGACCTCTTGTTGCAGCGTTTAGATCACCCCTGATGAAGGTACTAGACAGGAGTGTCGAAACGTTGGGTCTATGAATTGTAACTTCTTCGGTTACATTCATTAAATCTGCAAACCAGAGTAGCATCAAACTATGTCTAGTTAACAGTTGATTGAGGTCTGGACAAATGTGTTAGATATCCAGCTTACATGCTTAAGCGCCCCCTGTTTTGGTAGTAGAAATTAATGCTTTGAAATTTTTTATCCTGTCCTCCTGTAGTTTTAAGTTCAACCTGGTAGCTAAAGATGTTGCCACCCCGGGGGAAGTTAGTTAGGTCAAAACGCATTGTAATTCCAATTTTTATTCTTCGGAGTAAGTGTTACTACATTCCTGTCGAATCTTGCACGGTCTAAATAATTACATAGTTCTGCACGCTTATCTACAATGTACTGTTACCAAGCGTCTGGAGATTTGCTAGAGATTTTGATAAAATTCACGTTACTATGATAGGTTATACCATCTAATTTAAGTTATTGTTGAGCAGATAACGGAGCTGATTGTTTTTCCTATCTCCACGTCTTTGGTAGTCAAAGAAACACAGTCAAAGTGTAGATTAATATGGTGGGTTGTTCAATAAATGAGACTAGTCAGTGTTTAGAAACAACTGAGAAATTGTATCCAATGCGGTTGGAAAAACATTTTGTTTTTGTTTTTGTTTGCATTAAGTTAGATAATGAACAAGGAAAATAGCTTCTATTGCACTGAAAGTGGCCTTTTTCCTTTGAGTAACATCTGGAAATGAGCTTCACATAAGTTCCCTGTCAAGGTTACCAAAGTGTGCTATTCAAGTTGCCAAAGTTCTCTGATGTCACAAAAGTTCCCTAGTGTCGTCACAAAAGTTTTCTGGTGACGTCGCTAAAGTTCCCTCTGCACATCATAAAAGTTCCCTGTTTTCGTCACCAAAGTTCCCTATTTTCGTCAGAAAAGTGCCCTTTCCTCTGGCTCTCTCTCCTTCTTTCTCTCCCTCTCTCTCTCTCTCTCTCTCTCTCTCTCTCTCTCTCTCTCGCTTTCCTCCTTTCTTGCTCTCTTTCATTCTTACCTTCTCTCGTTCGGCTTTCTTTCAATCATCTTTTTTTAATCTTTCTGACTCTTACTACTTTTTTGCTTCTTTTTAATTTTTTGTTTCTCGTTTATTTTACCTATTCTTTCCCTCGTTCCTTTCTCCGTTTTTATCAATATTCATAATCTCCCCCTCCAGTCACACCCTCCTTTCGTCACCTCCTGCCGTGCTGTTCGCATTCGTTACTGTGCTTACGCTCTTGACCATGATTGAAGAGAAGAAAAGGTTTATAAACAAGTTAGAGATAAAGATCGAGAAGGTGGTAAATTTTTGACTCCGTCGCTTAGGCCTTGGACAAAGATAATAATCCCAGTCTTCATTTATAACTACAAGTCTCGTCTTTCTCGTGTGTTTCAGCTCAACCGACAACAAAGCCAACGAAGACATCGAAAAAGAACACGTTAATGAAAAGGACAACCCCTGCGAGAAAGCGAGGCCCTACAGGTGTTTTCGGGCTTGTGAAGAACGAAGCCAAGTCAGCTGTAAACAAAGCAATCGATCTGTTGATGGACAATGTAAAATTTGTTATTCTTGGAGGAATCGGTTTTGTGCTACTTCTGCTGTTTTTCATGTGCCTCTGTTGCAGGTAGGAAAATCGCAGCCCGATTCTGTGCGCGCATTTTAACAGACCCCTCACTTTACCCGAGACGACCTTTTGCCCTTGAGACAACTTTAAGAAGCGTTTATATGGAGTTTTGAGTTGCAACAGCTGTCCCTTCACCAGTCTCTCTCGTTACCGCCATGCACGTTACATATTGAACAAAATGGTCGCCGCTAACCTAAAATACGCGCGCTCCGGAAAAATGTCGTCCCTCTGTAAGCTGTTACATACAGATGTTATTTAAAGACGTATATAATTTCTAATTCAAAAGTTCATGGTGACTCTCATATTCTATAATTCAGGAGATGTGCAAGGAAAAGGATCGAAAGGAAACTTAACCAAGTGGATTATGAAGGGCAAGGCGATTTTTATACCCATACTCAATATCAGAATGTTCCAGTGAATGACTATTTCGGTCCACTCCCACCGACTCCAACTGCACATCCCGGAAATGTAGCCTCAGTATACCGTCCAGCTCCACAGCATCACGGAAGGGTATCCTCAGTATTCCGTCCACCTCCACAGCATCACGGAAGGGTATCCACAGTATTCGCTTCACCTCCACCGCATCCCGGAATGGCATCCACATTATTCCCTGCAGATGCACCATCCCGAGTAGCCGGACATCCTCCCCCGCCAACCCCTGCCCCTGCCCCTGCCCCTGCCCCTGCCCCTGCCCCTGCCCCTGCCCCTGCCCCTGCCCCTGCCCCTCCCCCTCCCCCTCCCCCTCCCCCACCCCCTCCTATGACTGCTAAAGGACATCAACCAAAAGAAACTAAAACTGTTTCACAATCAAGCTTTTATTCTGATGATGAAAACTAAAAATACAAATTACGATGACTGGCTATCATTTAACAGGTAAGAAATAACAGGCTGACTAAGAACATGCGACTGGTATTGACCGTATTTTCGTTCAGTTTCCGAGCACCGAATCCCTCTTTCTCTGCTTTCATTTGAGAAGTCGGGTTTGATCGGATACCGATGGAGATCTCGGATCCTGTGACCGAGGTCTTTTTGAATCGGGGCTAGTTATTTCCCAAATTAACCTACAGAAGACCCTTAAGTTATTTTGCGTTTTCAGTGGAGCGGAGACCAGCACAAGGCAAGAGCTAGTCGCGAGTGACGCGTGACAACGCGCTAGTGAAGTGAATGACAAGGCGCGAGTGACGCGTGGCGCGTGACAAGGGGGCGAAAAAGGCGTTATCTTCTATGCATTCCTCCTTTTGCAAGTTAATTGCGAATGATTAGACTATTCTCCAGAGGGCTAAAGAAAACATCACTTGTTCAACTCAGTCATATGCGTCTTCTTGTTTTCAGGAGTTGCTGAAATGGTTCTTGACGCACATTCCTACTGTTAGTATTATACAACTTTAACATATGAATTTCAACTTTAATCTGGATCAAAACATTTATTCACTTTTGTTTTAATCAAATATCTTACTTTTTGTCGCATATTTTTTGTATTGATTCATAGGATTACTGACCAATAAACAACTGAAATCGTCTCGTAACTGTTGTGGTTGTTGTTTCCTTTAATTTTCTGTAACTATACTGATGTGAACTGATACGCGCTTTTAAAATAGATTTCTCCTCTGGGATCTTGAACCAGAAGCAAGGATTTTTGCAGGGCGTAAGTACACTTCACCCCTTTCGAAAAAGTAATAATAGTTCATCTTTAAAACTGGAAAAAACTAAGCATGTTTTCTTACGTTGCGCAAAGGCAAAAAGAATTTCGTGTACAGTAACGAGAGGTCCTGGGAAAGAGTACATCATATCTCGCTCCCAATGCTCTTCTTTGCAGCACGGATGGTTATTTGTCCATTATGGCGGCGGACTTTTATTTCATTCTTCTTTTGGTTGTGTGCTGTGTGCATTTATATGTCTGCCCGTTTACCAAAGTAGAAGAAAGTTTTAATTTGCAGGCAACTCATGACTTACTCTACCATGGAATGAACATTTCCAAGGTACGTATTTTCCAGATTTTTATGGCATATGCCTCAGAAGGTTCGATCATGGGAAAACGTGTTCTTTATTTTTAGCTTTATTCGGGCTGGGATGTAGAATTTTTTTTAATGATAGCCTTTATTTTCGAACCAAAGAACATTTTTGTTTTTTGCTTTGTTTTATAATCAGGGATTTGTCACGATATCATTTATACATGGGTTTAGTGACTTTCGGAGAAAGGCTACGAAACTGGGTGGGAGGGGGGGGGAGGGGAAGGTGCCTATAAGTAACTGAACTTAAAAAAACAAACAAACAAACAAAAAAAAAAGGATATAAGTAAAAGTAAAAGAAAAAGAGCGAAACTGCAAAGTAGGAGATAGGCCTGCCATTCTTAGACTTATGTAAGCTTTATTAACTAAAACTGAGAGTAAATCCCAGTGTGATGGCTTCATGGAAAAGGAAAAAACTATGGAGGAGGGGGGAAGGGGTCACATATGGTCTTGGAAGGCAAACAAAACCCACAGTTTTTGGAGAATAACACCTTCAACAGTAGAAGAAGGACCAGGGTGGCTAAAATCTACCCTTTGTTATACCTTGCTATCTTCTCTCTTGCTTACTACAGGCTTTGATTCCCATTTCCTACCTTTTATTATGAAATGATGTGCAGTAATGACTGAAGAATGTCCAAATATTTCCTGTAAAACTTCCAGTACTACCCGCCTGCCTGTTCAGTACCCTGTCCTGTACATATCAGTCAATTGTAGTGTTTAATCTTTGTTGTAGTATGATCATTTAGAGTTCCCTGGTGTGGTGCCTAGGACATTTCTTGGACCAATTGTTGTCTCCTCCCTCGCATATCCTGCTGTCATGATCCTTAAATTTGTTGGTTCATCTAAATTATGGTCACAGTATGTAGGTAACTTACATTTCATGGAATATTTCTTTGATATCAGTATGACTATTTTGCATTATTATTTTAAATGTAACCTTGAGACAGGTCATCTTGCATTTACAAACCTTTTGACCTGTCTTGCATATTGTTGTTTCAACCCTTTAACTCCCAAGATCTCATTAGTAATTCTCTTTACTGTCAGCCATACAGTTCTTGTGATGTTAGTTTGGAGAATTTGGGATTGTATCAACTTATAATCCCCTAGAATTTATATTTTTCTTTATTCTCATCACTTATCTGCTTGATATTGTATTGATATTGTAAGGAGAAATTCTGTGTTGGTCACTCATGGGAGTTAAAGCATTAAACACTTTCAATACCTTTTTAACTCAAATTATTACTAATTTTTTTCTTCCACTATTTTCTCATTTTACATATTCTGATATTTTTCTCATTTCCCCTGATATCTTTTCATTAAATTCTTTTCATCTTTGGGGGTCTCAAACATGTTCTAAGTTTCATCATTTATTGACTCAAATTAGTATAGGTAGTAACATGATTCTCAGTGCAATTTGGTGCTAATAAGCAAGAGAAAATGTTTTCAAAGACAATAAAATTTCACAAGCCCGCAGGGTCCAGCAATGCAATTTGTAGTCTTTGAAAAATTTACAAGTGCTTATTTGTACCAAATTGCTCTTGAGATCATGTTATTACTTAATTAACTTGAAAAAGCATCACAGAAAGTCAGAGAGACAAAATTTTGACAGCTTGCACACGCTATTTGTAACTTGTACAGTCTTACAATTTTGCAATAATGTTACAGGAAAAATGCACTCGTTTTCAGCCAATCAGAGGCATGTAATTTTATCATGCATGTTATTATATTTCATGTAATTTTATCATGCATGTTATTATATTTAAACTTGTCTGAGTTTTCATTCTTATTCTCTGATTTTACTGTTTATGTACACAATTTGTATTTTTTCGATTCCAGTACGATTTTTTCTTGGTTTGCTTGGTCTTCTTGCCTTTTCAAAGTTCCGCAAATCAATCGCAACCAAGTTTGGACAGGATATTGGGAAGATTATGGTGGTACTCACTGTTACTCAGTTTCATTTCTTGTTCTACATTTCAAGACCATTACCTAATACCTTTGCACTCATTTTAGGTTGGTACACACATGTATACATGTATTTAACAACTCTTTTTCTGAGGCAAAGTCTGTATAGTGAAGAAATCCCTTAAAATAATGAAATAATGTTATGTACAGCTACCTTCCATTTGAGGCAAAAATATGGTGGAATATTTGTTGGCAGACTTAATATCTGTGCCAATAAGGAACATTACTTGAGAAAAATTGTGAAGTTTTTGAAACCAATAATATCTAGGGACAGATGAATGTCTAGAAACCTTTAAGTAACCCCTAAGGGTGATAAGCATCTAATTTCTCCTAACACTATCATCCCTGATTCAAGCATTAAGGTCATGAGAAAAAAAATAATGATCACAAACCCAAGATGCTCTTGATTGTTAGACAAATTCTCCTTGTAATTCCCATAGTTAATGTATCAAGAACAATATGGAGAACTTACATACTGATGTTAGGGTGTAAAGGTGTAAACATCTCAATCTTGTCAGGAAGATGTCATGCTTAATCCTGTTATGTGGTAAGGTAGTTTTGAGGTAAATCCAAGCATTCTGATTGGTTATTACTTGGTCAGGATTCTGCCATATAGACCATTTCCATGGAAACAGTCAAAACCTGTGTATTTTTGTTTGTGAAAGCAGACAAATTCAAAGTAAACAAGTTTGGTCCAAGTGTCATACAATAAACTACTTGCAAACCAAGGGTGGAGCTATATTGGGTAATATTGGTTCTCAGTCGTTCATTTTGTACATGCTACCACAACTTTGGGCAAGGATTCCTCAATATGGTCTGAGGACTTGGCTAATAAGAAGTTATTGATCATTTTCTTAATTCTGTCTTATCAGTTCTTTTAGCATTTCATTACTGGCTGGATCAACATCACGCCAAATTTGTTTGGATATCAGCTTTTGCGATTATCATCTTCCGATCAGAGTTATGTATTTTGCTTGGCCTGATCCTACTGCTAGAGCTAGTTACAAAACGTCTGACTTTAGGCACTGCATTTGTCCATGCAGCATCAGCAGGTGTCAGTGCTTTGGGTAAGCGGATCAAAGAATGTTCTTGTTGGAGATGAATTTTGAATCATCTCCATTGTAGCCTGTAGATTGAATAAATCCAAACTTCTCTGGGTTCTCTAGAAAGAAAAAGAAAGTATGGAAATATTTTTAATTCACACGAGAACTTAATGGCAGTTAGGAAAATCTGGACAGTGTCAGTAATTGAAAATTACTCTATCATTAACACAGGCATAAAGGTGGCACCCAGTGATAAGCCAAAATCCAAGTTTAGCAACTCAAATTTTTTTCTGATCTAAGTACAGAAATTCTGAAAGACAATTTGGCACTGTCATTTTGGATCCAAAAAGACCTTTCTTCTCAAAACCAGAGATCTGGTTTAGAATTCTATAATTCTAACTGCTTAACATAAGCAAGATGGTGTAAATATTTACCTTGATGTAGAACTAAATTCTCAGAGCTAATTGTGGGAAAATACTTGGTAGTGCTGAGAATTACAATCAATCAGATCTTGGAATTTTTTTAATTTATTGATTTTTTTACATTTTCAGACTTTCAAACCATGGCAATCATACATGGAATATTTGTCATGAGGTCAAATTTTTTTTGATGCATGTTTTCATTCTCATTATTATCAGCTTTGACTGTTTCTGTGGACTCCATATTTTGGAGAAGGTTCCTGTGGCCTGAAGGAGAAGTCCTGTGGTATAATACTGTCCTCAACAAGAGTTCTAACTGGGGTGTATCCTTTCCATTTCTAATCATTTCATGTTGTCCTTCGGTAACGTTTTGAAAAGGTGAAATAGTTTCCAGTGAGGTCTTAAAACTAAAACACAACTCTCGTAGCTTTTTCTAATCAGATGCCTTGGATCAGCAAAAGCTGGTGCACTTGTTTTAAGCTTGTTTTTAATTTTAACACACTGGAAACAATTTCTACATTTGGAGATTGAAAAATTTGTGGGAGTTTTGTGAGTGAGTGAATAATTTTCTGAATTTTATGGGAACAAATTTTTGTGTTTCAAGATGACTTAAATTTCTGTTGGGAGTTTATTTTGAAGATTTTCAGTTCAAGCAGTAGACCATTCACAAGGAAAAAAGACAATAATAATATTTTCAAATTCTCTAAACTTCCAATTTAAACAAACAGGGAAACAAAAAAAATATTTGAATAATAGATAGCTCTCTGGATGGAAATTCTCTTGAAAGTTGCAGATGCCAATTATGATTATCACAGAACAAGACCATTAATCTGTTTAAAGCAGCAACAGAAAACAGAATGATGTAATTTCTAGCCTTAAGCTTTAAGGAAACCCCTCAATTTTTAATATTTTACTATGTCAGCTTTCCTTTACTGCACTCTAGACCTCACCATTTCTTTGGTATTTTTATTCTGTTCTTCCCAGATGTTTGATGTTTGGTTTAGTCTTAGTCCCTCTGGGACTCTGGCGGAACAGGAGAACCTGGGAACTAGCTGCACCATGTTTAGGCTTTGTGTTTATGTATTCATTTCTTCCTCATAAAGAATTGCGGTTTATTATTTATGTTGTCCCTGTGATGAATGCAGTGGCTGCATGTGGTCTGAGCTTTATGTAAGTATCGTAAACGTTCCAATCTCTTTCCAATAAACTTTTAAATGTCGCTATGGTGAAAGGGGGAGGGGAATTTGGTTCAAATTGACAGAGTACTAAAGAATGTCACAATCAAGATTCTCCCTCGATCAGTAGTCCATATTGAGCTTTAGGAATCTTGAATGAAAATGAAAGTGAAAATTAAAACTTTATATTGGGATGCTGAGGGGGCAATATAATCGAAGTGCAACTGCGTGAATTGTAGTCTGTTTCCTCGTACGTAAACGAAGATGGTAAATTTGAAGCCTGGTTACTTAGGTGAAATATGATGTTATTCCGTGAAAGACACAGGTATATTTGAGAAAAACGGCCTTTCCTGCCACAAGTTTCCGAAAGCTCCGTGGTAGAGCATCAGCAGTACTAATTGGAAAGTCGAAGGCTCCAGTGCTACTGGGAAAACTCGGAGTTCTGATTATGCTCGTGTCATTCACCAAATTACATCGTCTTCAAGAAGTCTGCCTTATCCTTACTTCTAAATTTTTAACCATCTTAAAGCTGATTTTTTTTTTCGAGTGCAAGATGACTTAAGACATAGCTATTATAGGGAGGTAGGTGATCGTAAAACGTGAAAGTATTTATCTATGGATTTACTCTGGTTCCTTCCATAGACTCAAGAATGAATCTAAATGGCATCTCTTAGTCTCTGGTGTGGTCAAACTTCTGACCGTGGGGGGACTCCTAGGGAGCTCTCTAGCAACCGTTTTAGCGCTGTATATATCGCATTTTAACTACTCAGGTGGAGTGGCTCTGCAAAAGCTACATACGCTGTTAGAGAACTACCCAGGTATAGTTAAAGTTATTTTGAACATTTAACCGAGAGAGAGTTATGAATGATTGATGTCTGGGAAAAGTCAGAGATGACAGACTCATTTGTTTTGGCTTCAGAACCTTGTCATGTTCACATTTCTGTCGCTGCGGCTCAGACTGGTGTTTCTCGATTTGGAGAGATCAATCCATCTTGGAGGTGAGGTTAATTTGCGTATCTTTAACAGATTAGTAAGTACGATTAACGGTTCTTTTAGATTAGTTGCTCCTTATGAATCTTTTACCGCATGTTTTCCAATGTGTAGAGTAAATTGTAATAGTGGATGTGCTCTTGGTTGCCATCTTGGGCCTTTCTATCCCACTCATGTCGGCAGCACTCAGATTTGTCTTTTTGCTAGTATGCCTATGCCATTTGTAGAGCATCCAAAATGGTTATTGGAGGGTTTTCAGTTCGGAGCCTCTCGGGAGCGTTCGGATTTTGACAGGTACATCGCTAAAAGAATATTCGGCGTAAGATCGAAAGTTCGTCCCCCGTCGCGTGTGCACGGATTTTCTCAGTAGTAGAACATTGGAGCGAATAATCTGAAAGAAGAAAGTTCGTCCCCCGTAGGGTGTGCACGGATTTTCTCAGTAGTAGAACATTGGAGCGAATAATCTGAAAGAAGAAAGTTCAGACCTTGTTGGGTGTGCTCGGATTCTCTCAACGGAAGGGCATCCGAAATAGTTATCAAAAGGTCGTTGGTTCGGCTCCTGTCGGTTGCGGTCGGAATTTCAGAAGGATCAAGGCAAAAGTGCTCTGATTTTTCCGTTCCCTGGTAAACCTGTGCGTCTGACTGCAGTTGTCATTTCTCATAAACGCGAGTTATTCTTGAATAAAGACGATGACGGGTTTTAATCTTAATTTTTTTTTTTGCCTCATAAGATATTCGAAGACAGAAGGTCTGGAAAAAGGCAGCCCGGATATGCTGGTTTTCTCGCATCTTATAACTGAACCAGAATGTTACGAGCCGAAGGAGAGTCCGCATTTTGTTCTAGGAGTGGTGGAGGGACTTGGTGGTATAGAGATGGTAGATAGAATATGTATTTTGGAGAGGAAGAACTGGAGGAAAGCCAAGACATGAGTCTTTGATGTTTGCGTTTTAGGCCTAAAATAAGTAAAGAATCAGATTGAAAATGCAAAAGACTAGCGGCAAAGAATTAATATCATTGCGTAGATTGATAAGTTTTTGATTAAATATAGACTAGGCATTGAATTGCTCTCAAAAAGATAAGTTCCTTAACGCTTGAAGATAACTTACAGTATGCAGTCGAAAAGTTGCGATCCACATCGGGAATGACCACATCTAAAGGAACAAACGGTTACTATTCATTACAAACATTTTATTCTCCAAATCAAGATTAAAATATGACAAACTGCTTTCAGCCGCGAAGATCAATTCTTTACTTGTTATCTTATCTGAGGACAAAGAAATAAATAAAGGTTACAAGTTATGTATTAAAGAATAAAAAGTTTCGAAGTACTTAATTCTACATGTCTTCGTGATATTGTGCGGGCTCTCTTACGAGGAGTGGAGGAGAAGGAGAGGTGGAACAGCTGCGGTCAGGTACAAATAAGGTACAACAAACGTATTGAAACTGGAAGGACTGCAATGGCTTAGGGCGACACCTCCCCTACCCAAACGTTTTCAGATTTGCTCTTTCTTGGAGCCTTGGAAAAATTAAACGAGTTTTGTTTACATGAAACCAAAGCATTTACCAAAATAAAGGCAGTTCCGGCTACTTACCGGCTTCAAAGTAGAGGAGTTTACAACCAAGCAGTAAAAATACAAAGGTCTGATTATTTAAACACAGATTAGCTGCTGTTCAACAAAATCGCGTCATAAACCATTTTCAATTTAGCCGAATCTGTTATCTGAACATTAATTTTTGTGGAAATTGTGTCAAGAGGGCCGAAAGCTAACAGTCGAATGACATTTATTTAATTAAGTCAACCGTCTTGTAGGGAAAACCTAGGGCCCTCTGCTTGCGTGAAACCGCGGTTTGAGTTAAACTCCGTGTCAATAGCCGGCACAAGCTTTTAAACCACGACTTTTCCTATCACAAATTTCAATCTCTGAAGTACCTTTCCCAACTACTCACTAACTACAAACAATTTTTAAAATTTTTAATAAATGGATATTTCTTCGGACAATTGACCTTTTGTACTTTCACTTTCAAACTTAATTCTACTAGAAAACTCAGTTGAATTGCAGAGTTTTGCTCCATCGAGCAGAAACGACGTGTTGTGCTGGTTTCTCCGCTCTAAGCTACTTCAAGAAGTAAATTAAAGATGTGCGTTTCTTTATCTTACGTTCAAGAGCCGAGATATGAAGAATTTATTGAGATTCTTCAGTAATAGACACTCCTTGATGTGAGAGGTTGAAAACAGACTTGTTACGAGGCTTGAAAAACTTAAGTCGGTGGGCGGGAGTTTCCTTTATTCTGTTGAAATTCTTCGTTACTAAGTCTTCGTACCTCTTTTACGGTCTCTTAATGTGCATTTAGAGTGGATTATCGATTCATAAATTTCACTGTACTTTCCCTTAAAAGGAAAATGGCAGCGTTGGAGCATGACTTAAGATTTTTCAAAGGTGGGGCCACTGCAGGTTTGAATTTCCATGCGGCTTAAGTGAAGCTGATTGTGCCGCCGTCATTCGTTGTGAATCAGCGGACCTGCAGAAAGGAGCCACAGACGGAAGACCTGGCTCTGTAAAAGATTGATGCCAAGAGGGATCTTTCCATAAGCTCGTATTCACAAACCTGAATTATTTAGGCTTTCTATGTTATGCCTCGGAAAATGTTATGCCTGTTTTTTTATTTCACGCGTCCTCCATAATGGAGTAACCAAGTCATTTTGGCAGATTAGCAATTAAGAAAACGTCGAAATGGGGCTTTTTTTTTTCGGAATCTTCGATATTTAGTTTATCTAAGTTTTTCTGAACAACTTCTAACCGTTCGAGAGACACAATGATAGGCTTTTTGGTATTTTTCAGTTTCAGAGTGGTTTCCTCACCAAATAATATTTTCTGCAGTGCAATTAGAGCTGCTTTTTGGCTCTTTTCACGAGCGCATTTACGACGCCTTAATTTCTTCTTGATTCTTAATTAGCCGACCGAACGTGCAAACTAAACTTCGTGCCAAATCTATGACGTATCAGCCGATTATTGGCTAAAGCTGCTAATCCATATTCATCAGGAATTGTAGAATTTTCAGCAAACAACGTTGTCTGTCGAAGAGCAAAGGTGTATCGTCCATCTGTGCCGAAGAAAAAGTTACAATATGGAAGGAATACGACACCTGACTTGTTGGAAAGACGCCTGTGTTACTACGACAGAAGGTGAGCATTACTTTGAAAAATTTTACCAAAATATTTTGTTATGAAGCTGAGCAAGTCAGAAAGTCTTGTTAACGCGTCAACACGTGTCAGTTGCTTGGCCTAAGCGGCTCATAACCTTGTTTGATGGTGTTGGCCTTTGCAAAAGCTAAACTTATGGTTGGAATATATTGATGAATAAAGAAATTGCTATCTTTTGGTAAAACTCTAGATTACAGCTATTTAGAAAGCTCTCTTTAGTTCAATTTCTCGTAAGTAATTTCAAGCAGTCTCTCATTGCATCTCTAATTCTCTACTTTCAGGAAAAGGAATGATGTCGGAAGAATGGAATTCAAGAGTAAAGAATCTGGCCAAGACAAGATAGTGGAATCAAAACATGTACAAAAGATACTGCAAAGATAAGAACTTTAAAATTGTTTAGTATTTGTAGCAAAAATGGTGGCTGTCTAGATATGTCTTGTGTTTGTAAGAAGACTTTACACCTCGCCAGTCGTCAGCATGTCAATCACCTTGGGTTTGGAAAAGGATGGAATTGATTGGTAAGTAAATAGTTTATATGGAGCCACCATTTTTGAATTAGTTCCTAATGATACGGACTGTGACGCAGATTTCGAGCGATCGTATTAAGAGCTCTGATTTGGAGGAGTTCATCTCAGAAAGTGAATGCGGATGATGGTCTTGATAAAGGTAGCTACCACACTTTTGTTAAAATTTGACTGCAGAAAACTGTTTTTTTTTTCTTAATTTCGTATCAGCGATCGTCTTTTTGTCGTTTGCTTAGCAGTTCGTATCAAGATATTATCTCAGCTGATGTCACAAGAAGGTGATATATGTTAAGGTGGCACTCTAGAAAAAGACCTTGGACAGCAGAGGGAAAATGAAAGCCAAAAATGAAAATTTTAGGTTGAACAGAATTGATGTTACCTTAATAATCAAATGACTGAGCACAATTGACTTACAAACTACACTTGTAACTATGACATTGCTGAGTGGTTAGCTCAATGCAATGGCTACAAGAAAGGACTGAGTTTGAAAAGCTTGTTTCCCAACGTAGGACAGACTTCTCTCAGATTTGGAACAAAAAACTGTAACAATGAACAGAAGAGAATGTTCTAGATAACTTAGGCGACGATTCAAAACTGACTTAAGAGAAAATGACGTCACTCAACAATTGACCTAAGGATTTCACGAAACACACTCATAACTTGCCTTTAATGACTTCTGATCAAACTGAACAGAAGAGAATGTTCTGTAAACTTAAACAACGAATCAAAACTGGCCCATGGATTTCACAAAACAGAGTTATAACTCGCCTTTAATGACCCCCGATCAAACTGACGAAACTTAGTTTATCAAAGGAGTTGTTTTCTGGCTAGACAACACTCACTCTGACGATAACACCTGACCATCGACTGTTTCTGTCTCGGCTTTTGATCGTTGAGCGTTAAGTAGCCAACGATGGAAAACAACTCGATTTGATTTACCTATCATCGTCGACAAGATCTGAATTCATTGAAATTGAAACAATGCCTTCACAGTGCCAACTTAAAACTAATGTCTACCGTTTTGTGTCATCACCTGAGGTCGATTCTAGTTTGCAAGAGAACATTGGTTACAGAGTTACCATCAGATTTTTAGTAATTGTACATTGTGCTTAGGTCTATCTATAGTTTTCTTTGTAAGTACCAATGTTCCCTTGACTTCCCATAAGTTATATCTTTAAACGCTAATGCCTGGTCACGAGAACATAAAAAGAAAAAAAAACACGCTGAAGATAAAATGCATTGTTACATAAACCAGTGAAATGAATTTCTGTTCTCGTCGTGGAATATACCGAGTTTTTTATTTTTGAGGGTGATTGGATTAAACAACGAGAAATTCCAACAAGGAACTTAAATAATGATTAGTACTACTGCCAGACGTTCACCTCTGTTCAGTTGGTACGGAGAATTATCGATTTTCATTTCTCAAGGAAAAAAGATTTCATCGGAAGACGAAGATGCAGAATTTTATCTCAAATCGTTGAAAAATGTTATTGAAATCGGCGGAGAACAATTCACAAGCTAATTTTGAAATGAAAAAAGGCCTCCATTGTGTAACATTATTAGCGGTTCTCCCTTATCAATTCTTTCAACAAAATCGTGAAATATTTCAATAAGGTTCCGAAATAGTTAGCGCATTATTAGCGCTTTGTAGAAAAAAATTCATACCATTGGAAAGATGTATAATGTGCAACCGAAGTTAATTATGTTTCGTAGAAGTTTCATTTAAGCCTTCACTTTTATTGAATTTGACATACGATTACATATTTTCCTTCGATCAACATAGTATTCGCGCGAAAATGAATCTTTCTCTTTAAATTCGTATCGGAAAGATCTCCATTATAACCATCCTTAAACAAGGCCGTAGTCCCAAAGGTAATCTGTCGTTTCCACCACTGTTTTAATTACACAAGAACTGTATGCATAATGAGTACCTGCATGGCTGTGGAAATCTTGCCCAAATTGTTTGATTCAAAATTCATAGCGGAATCCAACGATTTTATTAAATTTCCAGCTTTTGTTAAGAATTCGGTGCTTCTTAATTCTGATGTTGCAATGGTTGTCATTTTGCTGGTTTATGTAACACTATTTTCTCAATATGAATTTTGAATACGAAGTTAATTAATTGGCAAAATTTAAAACCGTGTTACACTCCTCGTAACAATTAGTTCAGTTGCTCTTTAGACCAGGCATTTAGTTTTAAAATATAACAGTTTAGATATTTATTTAAGAAGGAAAAAGATCTTTTGTGCTGGTTTTCGGTGTAACACAGGACTACAGAGAAAAAAAACTTCAAAGAACTTTGGATTTTCAAATTATTGATACTTAAGTCAAAAGAGAAATTCTGAAATTTTGAATTTATTGAAGAAAGCAAGCGGAGTTACGGATAAAAATCTTAGCCTTTAGGTCAAAACTGGAATTAAACAATTTGCTTCCGCAACTATAAGTTGAAATATCAGATTTTGTTTTCTCTGAATTACCAAAATATTTTGACTGGAGCCTAATTGTGAAATGTCTTCGCTCTTGCTGAAAGCAAATTAGACCCTTATATGCTTCAACAATATTGATAAGGTTTTGTGAACCCTTGCAGTTAAATTTTG